GAGACGACTCTTATACATAAAATTCAGTTTAAAGGTTGTTATTTTACAAAAAATAATAATACCCATTCGCCCGGATAGCGAAGGGTGCGGGTTCAAGTCCCGTCTGCTGCCTGTGGTCCGCGTCGATTTTTTTCTAGTTATATTTTCTTTAGATTTAAACATCAAGCAGTTACTTAAAAAAACAAAATTATAAAAAATTAAATAGTCTTCGCAAACTCTCATTTCTTTGACAGACCTATCTAACGGCACCAACATTGGTTATACGAAAGAAAAATTAAGACCCAATTTTTAGCGATAAATTCAATTGCATTAAAAATATTGTTAAAAATGTTCGCTTTCTGCACTCATTCTTCATATAAACATTAATTCTCCTTACAATTGAAGAGAGGTACGGCTTAGCGAATTTTCCGTTCGAATTGGAGCGCCCGTCCGGGCAAGAGTTCTCCACCATACAGTAAAATAACATTATTTTTTTGGTGGTGTTGTGTTTCTGTAGGTGAGTATTAGTTGCTCGGGCTCCAAGGGGTAGGAGTTTGGGTCAGGGTATGAAACGGTGCGTGCGAGCAATATTTTTGGTATCGCAAACTTCTAAATTATAGGCTACTGTGACTACAAAAATAAACTCAATTTCTTTGTCCTTAAGCATATTAGGAGATAACAATGCTGAATAGTTTTCTTTGCTCAGTCATTTAAATGAAAAAGATATGTTAGAGCTCCTAACAGTTTAATTCACTATGCAAGCGTTTAAAGAAAAGAAGAGTCGTTTGCTTATCAAGATTCTCTGAGAAAGTGTTTAATCAGAAGATCTTAATGTGAATTTAAACAGGTTGCTGTGAATAGTTCTGTAATATAATCTCTAATAGACGTCGAAAAAGGAGCTTATGAATTCAATATTATGATTGTTTTCTTCTATGGTTTGCATATTATTCGTTTGGGTGGATCATATGCGTGTCTGTAACTGTAAGTTATTACTCTTACTGAATTCGTAAATGTCTACGAAGATGCTTCTTTGTCTAGATTACAGAAACTCGAGACTGATTATCCAAGTTATAAAGATTTTAGGGGTAATGTTTTTTTGTATTTTTTGAAGAAACTCAAGACACAATCTTTTAGTTTATGAAACAATCATAATAATATTATGTTTGTATGACTGCCTATTTGATGTATACATTTTAAGTCTTTGGTCACATATCTGCTACAAGTACTTTTGACAATCCTTTTTTTATATTACCTTACAGTATTGATATATGGATGGATGGAGAAGAGCTCGATGGCGCAGAGGAACTCGATGAAGCAGGATGTTAGCGCGTTAGTCTGCGATCGTTGAAGTTAAGCAACTTTCGCAGTTGTCGGTCATTGGATGGGTGACCGAAAATCTTCTATCTCGTATTCCTCCGTGCTTTGGAAGGCACGTTAAGCCGTTAGTCCGGCTGCATCTGCAGTCGTTAGCACCCGCCAATCCGCACTGGGCCCGCGTGGTGGGTCATGGCCCAATCTCCCTATTCCATCCATAAGGAAGGCCTGTGCCCCAGCAGTGGGGACATTAATAGGCTGATGATGATAATGATGACTGAATGAATTCTGAAGAAACCAGGGTAGGTGGAAATTTAATGTAATCATAAGATCAGGGCTATATGGTGAAAGCATTTACGCTTCCGAGAAGCTTGATGGCACAAGTGTTTAGGGCATTCGGGCCAGTCTGCGACAAGGGCGCCACGACCACACCCGCACTTCCAGTGCTTATAATGGGAACCTCGGTCCTGAAAATGTCGAGTAAACGCTGCAAGAGTATAGTCTGTTTTTTATTGGGTAAGATCCTGCTCGTTTCATCGAGCTCTAGAGCTGGATGAAATGATAAAGATTAGTTCGACCTCTATATTAATTGTTATATCCGTTTGGTATTACTAAAGTTCATCAATGTGACTGTTTTATCACATTCTCATGAACACATAAACTCAATATTAAGACCGAAATACAGGCACGCATATTTGACCAGTGTATTCTGACTATGGACACATTGCATAATTTAAGCGTGCTCAACCAGCGCAGGAGAGAAAACTGGTCGGGTCATATCGAGGGATCGATAAACCAAGAGTGGCTGAGGCAACAGAAAATAACACAGGCATGCATAGACGTTTATTTGGCCAGTGTATTCTGACTGTAGGTTACTGCAAAAGGTTAGCGTGAGCCCAACCATCGCTGGACAGAGAACTAACTGGTCGGGTCATAGCGAGGAACTGCAAAACCAAGGTCATTGATGTTATTGACCGCGTAGCCTGAAATGGGAATGTGTGGAATATTATGTCATGCAAGCACGATTCTTGGAACAAGTGGCTGTCTGAGTGGCGGTCAAAAGCGTTTTCCAGGAAGACCTCAGATGCGTTGAGATCACAGGCCTTTTTTTATATAGAGGTAGGCAAATGACTCTACCCTACCTGATGTTAAGTGGTAATAAAGTCTAAACGCGAAGATAACTAGTACAGCAGTTATAAACTACTACTATAAGCATCCTCACCTTGCCGGCCTGCAAAAATGCTTCTTCACGAGGCGTGAAGACCGCGTCTTAAAGGACCCTAGATTATAGGAAGGATGGAACACGTGCGCGGGTAAAGAATTCCACTTACGAATAGTACGACAAAGAAATGAGTCACCAAATTTCTTTGTTCGTGTAGGAATCGTGGCCACAGTAAGTAGGTGGCAACGTAGGCCAGCGCCCGTGGTCCTCTGAAGAAAAGGTGATGGAGGGATAAGGAGAATAACTCCTCAGAATACTCGCCGTGTTATAGTCGGTAGAATGCGCTTAATGATGCCACATCGCGGCGTAATTGTAGAAGCTAGATATAAATAGAAGGAGCATTTGTTTCAAAATGTATGAAAACCGATCTGTCATATTTTGATGGCAAATTAAGTGGTGGAAAAGCATAGGAACTGGCAGACCGTTTTTACAGCTTATTATGGTATAATTAGAAAATTGCGATTGACATCTGTAACGAGAACAGGATAAAACAGCGGAGGAGGAAGACTTTTCGTCTCCCTTTTAGCATGTTTTTGGCACGCGAAGTACATACACTTGCAGTATCTATTTCAACCTGTATAGGTGGTTGAAATAATGGCATTAAAATAAACGGGGTGAAAATTGACTTCAGGTTACAAGAAACTGTGGCAAGTAGAGTAAATTGAAGAAGGATCACATCCTTAATCGTCAAGATAGTCTGAAAAGAGACGAAAAGACTTAGTAACCCAACGTTCAACATAGTTACATATCTTTACCAGCCTATTAATGTCCCCATTAATAGGCTGATGAAGATATTTAACTTTATTGGCCATATCCCAAAATGTGGATCAAGTGGGTGCTAACGACGGCAGATGCAGTCGGGACCAACGGTTTTACGTGACTTCAGATGCACAGAGGAGCTCAAAGTAGTAAATTTTTGGTCACCCATCCAATAACAGACCATTGCGAAAGTTGCTTCACTTCAACGATTGCAGCTGAATGCTAACCTCTTTCGCCGTCGAACTCCTCAGAGTAATATTAACCATAAAAACTGGAAATTTCACAGAAAATTTAATCTTACTGAAGAATTCTATTTCTAGGTTGAAAACAAGTTACTTATCATCCCATTCATTTGCTTCAAGCATTTAACAATACTTAAAACTTGTTTCAAGGTATTATTGTAACTAGTATCTCTTAGCAAATTACAGTATTTGGACTTACTTGGTCCACGAAATTTCGCATTGTTGATTATACTTGTTGAACCTACTGACTTTGGAATTGACTTTTACCAAAGTACTTATCAAACAAGCAAGTGTTCAATTAAAAATATTGTTCTTGACTTTGTTTGGATACTTATCCGTGGATTCTTATGGCAAATTCACAAAAGCACAGAGATGAAATTATCAATAAATTTATAAATATTTCTAACACTCACACTAATAATCCTAGCCCCAAAGTAGGCACTGTAAAGCTTGTGTTATGGGATACAAGGGAAACGAATAGAATACAAATACTGATACATACATAATTATATGAATACTAGCTGACCCAGCGAACTTCGTACCGCCATAAAAATAGAGGCATGTGACAGAAGAGAAAATTTAGGGTTGTATGTATTTTTTAATACTTACCACATTATAAAAAAAAATATACTGTCAAAAAAAAAATTAGGGGTGTGTAACGTAGTATTCAATCAATTGCCTGGGATAACATTCCTCCTAACCCATATGAGAACACTACGTTACAATACCCAATAGTTTGAATTTTGGCGCGAAGGCGCATTGTAGGTTTCAGAAAGCTGTGTTACAGGTGGACAATCATTATCACTTAAGGATGAAAAATAGGTAGTAGCCGATTCTCAGGCCCACGGAATATGCATATAAAATTTCATAAAAATCGGTCAGGACGTTTCGGAGGAGTATGGTAACTAACATTGTGACACGAGAATTTTATAATTAACTAGCTGTCCCAGCGAACTTCGTACCGCGATAAAAAAATAGGGGTTGATTGTAAAGGGTTGAAAATTCAGGGTATTTACTAATGCTGTATCATAAAAAAAATTAAAAAATAACTAAATTTGAAAAAAAAAATTGGGGTGGATTTACCCTTAACATTTAGGGGGATGAAAAATAGATGTTATCCGATTCTCAGACCTACCTACCCAATATGCACACAAAATTTCATGAGAATCGGGAAAGCCCTTTCGGAGGAGTTTAACCACAAACACCGCGACACGAGAATTTTATATATTAGATGGAAATATATATAAACATCCATGTCTTAGGTAAAAATGTTCTTATTCATCATACTTACATAATCCCCCCGGGACCTCTGAGTAGGCGACACCTTGAAATCCGGCGTACAAACCACTCGGCCACGGAGATCGTAGTCGGAGGTAATTTTGATCACCTATCTAAGTGTGAGCATTTCGTCTTTTCTCTATCGCTGACCAATCGTCTCATACTGGCAGCATATTGATTGAATTGTTTCGTATTTTGTCCAACAGAAGCGAAGGCCCACATCCTGGGCCCGGTAGACCTGTACGTGAAGACCGGCAGCTCGCTGTCGCTCACGTGCATCCTGAGCCAGGGTCCGCACGACCTCGGCACTATATTTTGGTATAAGGGTAAGTTATCACAACATTATTTATGTAGACTTTTACGTGAAGAACGGCAACTCGCTGTCGCTTACGTGCTTTTTGAGCCAGGGTCCCAGCGACCTCGGCACTATATTTTGGTATAAAGGTAAGTTATCGTTATATATTTATTTGGACTTGTGCGTAAAGACCGGCAGCTCGCTGTCGTTCACGTGCATCCTGCGCCAGGATCCGCACGACATCGGCACTATATTTTGGTGTAAGGATTTTTTTTCTTTTGAGTGTCTATGCTGCTGGTCGCAGATGACCTTTACAGCATCACCGGGTTTGGGATCCTAAGGGGACCTCAAGCCGAGAAATGGCGAGTGCCTCTAGAGGTATTCCAGACAGATGGCATCTCTCCACGGAGGGAGTCTCCTCCCCGTCTGGAGCCTTTAGACCACTCGAACTTGAGGGGATCAGCTCAACCAGAGGGCGTCTCTGAGACTCGGACCTCGGCTCTAGTAAGTCGTTGTCGTGGGGGGAGGTATAAGGGTAACTTAACGCAACATATTTATGTAGACCTGTACGTGGAGACCGGCAGTTTGCTGTCGCTCATATGCAGCCCAAGGCTGGTTCAGCACGACTACTGCACTATATTCTGGTATAAGGGTAAGTTGTCGCAACATATTTATGTGGAACTGTACGTGAACACAATTGATTTTATAAAAACGAAACCACCAAAAATTAGGAAATAATTTTCCTTACTTAATGTAAAGTACTTCAAAGTCAAATTATATATGGTATCGATGCCATGCCAATGCAATTAGTAAATGGAAACTCAGTTGTATCAGACATGCATGGCATCGACTACAAATATTAATTTGACTTTAAAATATACTTAAGTAAAGAAAATGTATCATTTCTTAATATTTAGTGAATTTCCACTTTTCATAAGCCAGAGCAACATTAACTTACTAAACATACCAGTCCGACCTGTAAACTATCTTTTATATTTCGTTAAACAACTAAACATGAATTTAGTACTGTTTGTAATTTAGAAGTTCCATTGTTTTCCAAATTAATAAGGGCCCATCTCGCTAGCAAACTCTCCCAAACAAAAAAAAAAGAATCATCAAACTCGGTCAACAAACCTCGGAAATATGCGCGAACAATAATGAGAAATATAATGCCGAATTGAAAACCTCCTCCTTGTGAAATTCAGTTAAAAACTGAGCAGATAAGTATAAGATAGTTATAGCCATTAGGCGACCTAAATTTCGCCAATGTTTTACTAGCTGTTTCAGTCTTTCTAGAGAACTGTCAATTGCAAGACAGTGTTGCTTGGGTCATTTTTCAAGAAAAAATATGTGTATATTTATCTAATGAAAATGTTACTAGAGAAAAAAAAAACACTCACTCGAACCAGGTGGCAGACGGGACGGGCCTGGTCCGGGTATAGTTTTTTCTAGTAACATTTTCTTCAGGTTTTAACATCTAACAGTAAAATGCTTGAAATAATAAAATATTCTTTCGTTATTTACTCGAAAACGCTATTCACACAATCACTCTCACTCACTCTTATTGCAATATTTAACCCAAGATACATACAGTATTTTACCAGTAACCATTACGTAAAAGCCCCATGGTTCTAAACAATAGTAGTCAGAATTTGCCCATAATAATTTCAAAGGCGAAATAGTATTAGTTGAATTTTATGATGTACCCGTAGTATACTGTTTGGATAGGGTGCGTACAAATTGAATGATAGCGGGAACTTGAGCGAAAGCGGCAGCGGAGCAGACAATTCCGCATTAGTTGAATGTAATAAAAAATGAAAAAATACTCACATCAAATAAAAATATACATAGTCACTCATATGTAGTATTAGGTATTATGTGATTAATTGATATAAAGTATGTAAGTCCTTGGCTTGATAAACCATATGTTTTCTGTGTAACGACATTCTCTCCTCCTACGATTACAATACTCAACATGGTTCATAATAAGAAGGGTTTGTTACACTGTGCCCCATGTTACACTGTTACAGTATAACAAATCTCACAAGTGAAAAAAGGAACAGCTCTGTATTCTACTCGGCCGGCGGCTTATGAAACTAATAAAACACGTCAAGACAGACTATAAACAAATAAGAAATCCTTATGTTACACTGTGCCCTACTTGACCCTACCTATTATTAGTAAATAGTATGGTCGTAATGTCGTATGTTCAAATAGATCATTAAACTTTTGTTAAACTGTTTCCTCCTTATTAACAAACTAAGAATAAGCATGAATTAGTTACTTCATGTTTTGTCTCTGTCTTTTGAATGACAAATGGCATTTGAGTGATATGAGCAAAACACGATGTAACTAATCTCAGCTTATTCCTCGTTTATTAATAAGGAGGTTTAAGTTCGACAATTTGTTAAGTCTGATGTTTTTTTTAATCAAAATTATAGTCTTATCATCTCATCATAATATTTTTCGATTTCCTGCAAAATCTTTGAAATACATCATATACTATGTGGACTTTATTAAGACGTCACTAATTGCTACTATTCAGGCAGCAGCCTTACCGTTGATTGAGTAGGATCCACAGTAGATTTCGATGTCCTACTTCCGTATTAACAACGAGATTGCATTCCTTCCCATAAATAATTATCTCACTCGTTCGTTTAATCAGTTTTGGACCGACTACTATCAGATTACTAGGTAATGACTGCGACTTCGTCTCCTTAGAATAATAGCTCACAATCAGGGCTGGATTTAGGGGAGGGCAGACGTTACCAACAGGCTTTGTGGCCTCCATTAGAGAGGGCCACAATAAACATTAAAAATCCAAATTTCAGCGGGTCAATAACACGTTTACGTTCTCGTTTTTCAACAAAAAATTCGTTCGCTTTTACATCGCTAATTCTTGTGGTTTTCTTCTTGAATTATACATATCACGTTATTAATTAGGGTCCGTTGCTTCGTAACTTCAGGACCTTTAGATCTCCCAATTCTGCCCTGCTTATAATTATAAGAATTATATAATATATAAATATAATATCGGTCAGTATTCCGTTATGAACCTAGAGCAAATCTAATTCTATTTATATTTATCTACAGTTTATACCGATCCTTACCCTAATTCCTAACCCCGGTGGTTAGTACCGGGAAACTTAACTGCTTGAAAACATTTGAGACAAGGTTTCTTGGAACTGCTCAAATTCTGTTTGAGAATCAGGTTTCTGTAATCTATCAATCCTTTCATGACATAAACTGTAAACTATTTACTAAGGACGAAACACAAATCAATGCATAGAATATAATCTAGCCCTAACTAATCTCTAAGTAAACGCGCGGATTCCGAGTAGAATACACTAATTTGCGTTTATTCTATATAAAAATTGTATAGGTATTACCATTACCTATGTTTCCTATACTTTTTTGACTTAAATGCCGTTTCGCGTGTTTGGGCGCCCATAATTTCGATTAATAGCCAAATGTTGATTTGTTTTCTCTATTGAATTCATAGGGTGGTTGTTACATTTTCGGCGAAACAATACCGAAATGTTGATATTATAAAATGATAAATATAAGTTGATAGAATTTTTGAACTATTCACAAAGTGTTAATAGTATAGTCAATGACGCAGTAATCGGTTTCATGACAAATTATGCGTTCAGTTATTGTCTAATCTTAATGTAGTGATAGGTAATGGTGTTTTATTTCAATTACGTTAATGTAAATCGATAAACTTTTACTGCTGTCACGACATTGTTGTTGTTTTCTTTCTGATATTATACTACGATAACATTTTATGTTAAAATGTTTATGCTTTACAAACTAACATAGTGGTGGGGCAAAGTTCTTTCCAAGAGGGGCCAGAAAAACAAAGTATTTTTTTGCGGGAAAGCAACTGTTAGGGGTAAGTGGGGGACAGTGTAACAAGGGGCACATTGTAACAGACCTCTGCCCTTTTTTAATTAAGAATAGACTTGGCCGCCATCGTTCGATCAACAGTTCTATAGATAACGGGTTGCATACAAAATCAAAGCTAATAGAAAATAAATAGTGTGACAAGATTTTAGTTACAAGGCGTAGCAAGTTGCGCTAGATGAAGGTGGCCCGAAGATAGCAGCTTTACATCAATTTTGCTAGCAAATCAGCATCCTCATATTATCGGCTTGCAAGATACGTCCTCGAGTTTTGAAGAAGATGAAACCGAACCTGTCCACTTTTTATCAGTATCTGATAAAAAGTGAACTGGTTCAGTTTCATTGTTGACTCCAACTGTAGAAAGAGAAAGCCAGTTGCCTTAGTTACCTTATTCTTTATATAAATAGGTCCATCAGCCTCACCTGATGTTAAGTGACTGCAGTCCAGAAGTAAAGACCTACCTGCCACACCAGCCATCCTCACCTTTCTAGCCTGTATATTGCTTCTTTATGCTTCTTTTAAAGTATCCCGCATTATAGGAGGAAGGAAACATATGAGCTGGCAAAGCATTTCACTTGACATGTGCGACAAAAAATGATGCACCAAATATCTTAGTCATCATCTTGCAGGTCTAATTCCAAATCGCTTGTCGCGCTGAGTCTTGTAAGTCTTGCTCTCTACAAATACACAATACTATGCGGAGCTTATTTTCTTAACAAACTGCAAATTCTCTGTACACCACCTCCTTGAATTTTCTTTTTCTAAAAAAAGCAAAAAATGCTATAACTCATTATGATTTTTACGAAAAGAAATCCACTTGGTCCAGTTTACAGACATCTGTACCGATTACAGTTTTTTCCAGTAAAATTTTGTTTAGATTTAAACATGATGATTAAAGCAGTTCTCTTAAAATAAAAATATATTAATTATCAAAACTCATATTTATTTGAATCACAGCCTAACCCCTCTTCTGTCATTAACAGGATCAAAACTAATAGAGTATAAGGAACTAGAAGAGAACGAGATATCGGAGGAGCCACGGTTGAGACTGACCACGGATTGGACTGAGCAGCTCACGTCGAAACTGACAATAGAGAAGCTTCTGCCCAGCGACAGCGGTAACTACAGCTGCGTGCCAACTATGGCCGAAGCGGCCTCCGTGAATGTACACGTCATAAACGGTAAATTTGTATCTATTAAATTTTATTTTATGCATGATAGTAAAGAAGCGTCGCTTGAGACTGACCACAGATTGAACTAAGAAGCTCACGTCGAAACTATGAATAAGAAAGCTATTACCTACAGACAGCGGCAACTGCAGCTGCGTGCCGACTATGGCCGAAGCAGCCTCCGTGAGTGTACACGTCATAAACGGTAAATTTGTTTCTATCAAAGTTCATTTTAAGCATGATAGTGGAGGAGCCACGTTTGAGACTGTCCACGGATCGAACAGAGCATCTCACATAGAAAATGACTACAGAGAAGCTTCTGCCCAGCGATAGCTGTAACTATAACTGCAGTAGGGATACTGTGGCTGAAGTGGCCGCCGTGAATGTACATATCATTAACAGTAAATTAGTTTCTATTGTAGGTATGAACTGCTAGATTTGTATATCTAAAACAATTTAACTGTAATAAATAAGCTGCTTACGTAGATATTTACTAAATTTGTGTTAAGTGTTAAACACCCGGACGCTTAATTATCTTCAGACATATTCTACATTATAAATGGTAAGTTAGTTACTATTATGGGGATCTTATATTATTTTAAACTTAAATTCTGAATCTTACAACTTTTAGATATCCGGAAAATACGGCACATAAATTAGTTAAAATGTTTAAAGATCAAATAATAAATTGAGTCAGTTATTTAAACCTCAAGTGACTCTTGATTAGACAACTTTTCGGAATTTTGAAAAATCAAACGTCACCCGCTGGCCAACGTAAAAATCAAATCGACGAGCGTCGTAATAAAAAATAAATGAAGATCTATTACTCCATTATCCAAAGAGCTGACACGAAAAGAAAATGAAATGATTAATCACTCCAAACAGAGTTAGCATTTAAATGGGCCTAATTTAGCGAAGTATCAAATTTAAACAATCATAATTAAATATCCATCATTCCGTCCGTGGAATACTCATAATGGCCCTTAATAATACTTTGAAACGCGGACTCGTAATAAATACCTATTTGGAAGTCAAATATTTCAATATTCGACGTGTCTGGAATGAACTTCCCTTATTAGGTAAAATTAGATTCTTAAGGAATACCTATTTCATCAGTCGAGCTCATTATATGAAGCATGTTTGAACTTAATTACGATAAAAATATATTTTGCAAGAAGTATATAAAGTGAAGAAAATGTGAAATATTTCACATTAAATCTAACTCAATTATACATACCCATTACCTACTGCGTACGTAACTTGGCGATCTATCCTTTGCGTAATTGTCAAAATGAAAAAAAAAATACCATAATGTTTCTCTTCGGAAATAATCGTTATGGGTTAACCAACCCCTACGATCTTCGATTAATCTATACGGGAATGTGAGCACCTAATGCTTTAATTTTTGTTTTACATTGCTTGGAATCCGACATGGTGTATTTTTATAAATAATTATCATTAATATTTCCTTTATTAATTGTTAAATCTAAAATTCTTCTAGACACAAAACATTGTGAACACTTTCATAAAGTAAGTTAGACGATTTGAACTCTCTGTGGGTGTGACCAAAACATAATTATAATATCTAACCCACCTTTGTCATTGTCATTTGAAAAATCACCAAAACTTACCTATGAAGTGCTTCTTACAAATTGCAAAGAAATGAATCATTTACTGTTTTATTACTCTGTTCATTTTTCAACTAACGGAATGAACATTTTGTTGGTTGAAAATGAAAATAATTATTTTGTTATGTATTTTAATAGATTAAGGGCCACTTGCATCATTTCGCCTTTGTCAATTGCTTAAAGCCTAACGTAAATAGAATGAGGTTAAATAGTTTTTTGATTGGATTTAAAAACTTTGTTGCAAGCCGGTCTAAGTGAATCTTTTTTTCTGAAATTTACTAATACGAACCTTTTTGCTATTTTACCAACAGGTGAGCACCCAGCAGCAATGCAGCACGGCAACGCTAACACGGCATCGCCGTGCGCCCTATCCGTGAACCTGCTGGTCTCATTGTACTGCACACTTGCGACATTATACACTGGGACAGTGGACGGGTTCAGATGAAAACTACACAACGCTCGTGCTTAAAGCCAATCCCTAATTGGGAGACACATTTGTAAATTGGTAGAGAATTTTCTATGGTGCAATAAGGTTTCAGCGGTCGGCGTTAATAAAATATGTATTTAATTCTTTAAAATTAAGTTTTTTGTAAATGTGTTTGCTGTTCTTTTATATACACGTTTCTCTACCTTTTTTGAATATGAAATAGAATTGATTTAATCTAAAACTGCAACGCACGGCATGCTAACACTGCATCGCCGTGTGCACGATCCGAGAACTATCTTCGTACTGCACAATAGCGCACTTTACACTGGGAGAGCGTGTAGTGGGCAGATCTTACTGTATTGTACACTAGATATACTATACACTGAGACGTGTGGACGGATTCAGGTGAAGACTAAACAATGTGCGTGCTTAAAGCAAACCCATAATAGGGAGACACTGTAAATTATTGGTAGAGAATTTTGTATGGTGCAATAAGATTAAGTTATTTCCTTAAAAGCCTAGAACGTGTCTCCATCTCACTTTACTTCAAGTATGATTTGAGTTCAGGTCCGTAAGGGTCTCTTTTGGCTGCATTCATTAATAAGGTGAAAAGAGATTTCATAATCCCATAATATACATACATCGTAAGCGACCAAATCGTAATTTTACTGATCTGATGATAATAATGTTTCTTTCTTCAGAAAAACATGTATTTTTTATTATCCTTTTTCAATAAAATTAAAGTGAACAGTTTTACGCAGCTTCGCCTCAAATTATACCGAAATGTCAAATTTTTTTTTTTAAATTTTGCAATAAACATCATAATTTATGTAATTATTATATAAAGGTCTTATAAAATGCGACGTAGCAGGCAGGAAATGCTCTAAACAGCCTCCCTAAGAGCCTAATTATCCCTCGGGGTCATATCTTTCTGCTAAGTAATAGCTCTGGATAAACAAGCCAGAGGTCTCCTTCCCTAGCTGAAATTACGATACGCTATATTTTGGAGTACCGTAAACATTGTAAGCAGATAGCAAACACGCTTTAACGGGTATTTTTTGGGACAAGACACTCATTAGTATCGTTGTCAGGCTAGTAATAGACCCTAATGTTGGGATGAAGGCTTTTGCCAAAGTTCTTGTATGTAGGAAACATGTCATATAAGTAATCCGAGGACTCGGTTAATTGGTTGGTGATATAGATTTTATAAATACACAAGAATTTCATTAATTAAGCCTTTAATGGAAACCTACAGGTGTACTATAAAAATAGTATTATTTTTAAAGTAAAACTTTTATTACATCGAGATATTTGTTTTCGTTCAAATTTAGCATGTTACATTATATCTTTAATTGTTATGAAACAAGCATTCGATGCTCAGTAATAGAAAGCGCGCCTGCTACGAAGGAAGCCTGGGTTCGATTCCGAGTCGAGAAAGAACTTTTTTCTTTTTTCACCTGCATCATGGTTTCATAAAATCACACCAATTTTTTTATATAAATATAAAATTTTATTATTTTCATTATTTATTTAATTTTTTTTTTCAATATCAACTTTTTCAAAATATTTTTACATCATCTTAAAGCCCTTCGTATTCCACGTCTTTTGAGCTCTCATAGGTCCAAAAAACATTTTCAGTTTTAATAATCTCTAAGGGGAAGTTGACTTAAGTGATGATGACACTTACAACAGAGTGCAGTGAAATATCAGTATCAGACACTCGCAAAAGACAAGGTACATGGTAGCATTCCCATAAATTACTCTGATAATAATCCTTTTTTTTTTCATTTTCTTACAAACGAATGCTTCTTTTAGCACGCACCTTCTTCACATTTATTATTAACGCCATCTGCTGACAGTGTGTGAACAACGTAAGTAAGTTTCTTTTGTGTATCAATAGATTGAAACGATGTTTATAGAATACGGCAACAAGACAGCTGTGTAATATATATGTAATAAAATCGAAATAAAATTACTGATTCGCCGATTGATGCTAATAATGTTTAGGTACAGTTTTGATTTATAAAAAGTGCTTTATTGTATTTTCCGATAAGGCACCTAATTAAAAGAGGAAATAAATGTACTTAGATATGTTTTTGAACCAGAAATTGCATACTTTTTTGTAAGTGTATGTGTGTAATTTTAGATTCACGAGTGTTGGTTTTTTTTAAAGCAGTATTTCAATTCAGTGCAAAGCATATTAATTTTCTTCGTATTCTAGTGAACGAATGAGTTGATATCAAACTGTACCTATCTCTGTAATTAACCTTTATCTGCGAAGGAATCATGTAAATAATACTCTAATTAAATTTTAGGTAGAAATCGAAATGAGAGGCTAACGATAACAAGAACGCTTTCTTGTTTACAACTTCTTTTGTTTACCCTCGTCTTTTGACCTGGAGTTCATATAGGGGCAAATACTGAAGCCATGTTGTATTAACATTTTGTTCCGGGGTCTTTGAGTCTTAGCAATTATTATTGAATTTTATAAAAATATGCCTTTGTTTTTGAGGTCAATACGCAAAAGTAAAGTTCTTCAGGGTAAGCCCGCTATACCGTAGATCCCATCTCAGCAATGCTATTCTGTAAAGACACAAAATTTCACATCGTAGATCATCATCATCATCAGCCTATTAATGTCCCCATTGCTGGGGCACAGGCCTTCCCTATAGATGGAATAAGTATGCTTGGTCATGCACCCACCACGCGGGCCCATTGCGGATTGGCGGGTGCTAACGACTGCAGATGCAGTCGGGGCTAACGGCATAATGTGCCTTCCGAAGCACTTAGAAACTCGAGATAGAAGATTTTTGGTCACCCATCCAATGACCGACCACTGCGAAAGTTGCTTAACTTCAACGATCGCAGCTGAACGTGCTAACCACCCGCGCCATCGAGCTCCTTAGATCGCGGATCCATCACGGATCTGATATGGATCACTGCACTGCTGCTCTCAAGAGCTTACCCATTAACAAATGAAGTTTCAAAATCAAAACCTACAAGAGAGTTTGATTTTTCCTTGTGGCATTTGACACTATCGATATATTATTTGTACTGAGTTTACCAAACCACCATTGTGTTAATTACTAGATTATTTTCAGTTTTGATATGTTTCTTCAAATATTTTTTGGTAACAATACTTATTTTAAAGTTAAATATACTTTGCAAGGCATTTAGAGTGTGTTTCTTTATGTAGATAAGAATAAAGTTTAATATTGTTAGTCTCTCCTCACTTGTGCCCTTTTATAAACACATTTCTTTATTACGACTTACGATAACACTCACAAAAACAGTTTGAATTTTGTAATAATATTATATATGAAAAAAAGGGAATTTAATTCCTAAAAACTTGATTGCACCGAATTCATAAAATTAGATCACTTGATATTTTGTATAAGAAGCTAATTTTAGTATTAATATTGAATTGTAAACGGCGTTAAATTATTTTTTATTGTGTTAAATCAAAAAATATTTATTTAATCATGTCATAGATCGAAAATTTAAAGATGCATCTTGACTATATTATTTTACAATTATGTTATATAACATATTTTACAAGTTGGGTGAACAGTTTCGACGTGTTATATTACAAAAGTCATATAGTCTCGATACATATTTGGTTTGAAAATAAAATGTATTTTAAAATATTTATTAAAAAGTATCTATTTTTATTTTAATAGATTTATTAAGAAAGGCCTTCTGCGACAACGTAGTTGTTACAAAACATATTATTAATATGTTAAAGACAATATTATTACGCGTTTTGATAATTCAATTTACTAGCCGAATTTAATTTTAATGAATGTAGCTGTTTTCCATAAGAAAATATTTACTACTCAAAATTTTTTTAAGATTTTTTTTATTTATGTTAAAAATTGCTCGTAAACCACACATACTCGTATATTCTTTTTCGATATGTTATCAATTTAAAATTTTGGATTGATATTTATGATCTCAATAATATTAAAGTTTATTTAATGACGGAGCTTTAATATTAAAAAACTAGTTCTTTTCGTTTGATTTAGAATGTGTTTTTTTCCATATTTAATATATATAAAAAATATAATATACCTACACATCAATATGATTATTTTAGAACAAAACGAAATACTTAGTATATAATTTAAATCGATTGTTGAACTTAGCAAATTAGATTTATTTACGCTTTTATTCTGAATGATTTCAAATATATAATAAATTGTAAATAAATACATTATTATTGTGTACATAATTTTAATGTTGAATTAACGGGATATTTAATATAAATATTTAGTTATTTTGTTTAGTTTTGACACGTTCGATGGTATTAGAAGTACGCCTACACTCTGCGCTTGAGCTTCGTGAGAAATTGGGAGATGTAGATAATTTATATTTAAAACACATAGGTACACACAAAAATCACAATCCTCCTTCTATTGCATTCGGGTAAAAGCTTAATAACATTCTTGTTTCTAGTATTTTTATTTAAGCACTAAACTGCTAAATTATTATACCTTTTAAAATTATTGACTAGAAAAAAATATACATTTTGGTTATTTAGTCATCCAATTATTATTTTTTTACTTACCAAAGATACTATTGGGTAGCATTACAACAAAAAACTCAGACGTATACTTTGAAATAATTTAATTGAAGACCTTTTTAAAACTTTAAGGTATTTAAACCTTCTCTGGGAAACTAAGCGTATAACTTGGAAGAGCTGAAATTAAACTTAGTATGTGTTAAGTTTGTGTAACTTAAGATTTTAGATAAAAATCAGTTAGCGAAATACTAGTACGAGATTTCTAAGAGCTCAAGTGCGGAATATAATACGTTTTAAGAGTAAATTGTGTGAACAAAATTATTTTCAGGTTATTAAGGTTAGGCAATTAAAGAAGATTTATGTAACTAAACTATGACGTTAAGATAAACTTTGACAAATAAAGATAGTAACACTTGAAACTTTGACATTATTATTTAACCTTATATCCTTTATTTTACACTTATTATGCTAACCTCTTATTAATAGCAAGTAGTTGGTACTTAAGTAGCCCTCAAGTCGGAGCGCCCGGGTGGGTACAAAGCCTCCAAGTTACAGAAAAGCTTTTTTATACATAGGTCAAAAAACAAAAATTTACATCTCCACACCTGATGTTAAGTGAAGGGTAAATTCTTAGTTGAATCGCATTATATATTTGTGTCTGGAGTCTATCTTCACTTGGGTCCGGCCATTACGCACCCATCCCGCGACGCACCCGCCGGGACGCACCAGTCTTTCACTGTGGGTGATTGTGATGTCATAGCTGTCAATTCAAACCAAATAGGTAGAGCGAGCAAAAAAAGTTTTTATTTAATAAAACTTATTTGAGAAAAAGCATCAGATTTTTTAATAACATTTATACTAAGATTGAGAAAACAAAAACCACCGATTTTTAATAATATTTATTTATTAAGACTGTGAGAAAAAACATTAATCAGAATCTAGCTCTTCTATTCCGTTCATCTCTGCATTACCGCCGGAGTAGTTATGAATAATCATGCACTATTACTAGGTCACATACGAACATTCATCCTTTATGTAAACGAAAGTTTGAAATCGAGTTTGCTGAACGCAACTTATGTAACATTTGGTTGACGATTTAGGTTATCAACCATTCATGGCCAAAGCTCAATAAGTGAAAATAAAATATTAACCGATATTAATTATCAATATTTGTTATTGTTTGTTTACAAATGTTTGGTTTTAATTCTTTAATTAGCGGAGTGCTAAAAAAGGGATCCAAGTTTTTTTTGCAAACCGTACTTTTCAAGCGACATTTGACAGATAGAGGTCATTGGCTTTCCTATTCTTATTTGAATCGCATTATAGCTGGTACAGCAGTTATACCCGCCACACCAGCTATCCACATATTGCCCGCCTGCACATTCATTCTTTAAGCCTCCTTTAAAGGATCCCGGGTTGTTCGAGGGAGGGAACACGTGAGCGGGTAGAGCATTCCATTTACGGATATTGCGACTAACGAATAGTCAGCTTTCTATGTTCGCGCGGAATAGTGGCCGCGGTAAGTCGGTGAGATTATTATTATAACACTATGTATTCGTGGTATTATCTCTGTTGGTGAATACGGTTCCAAGATTATGGAATTGGGTACAGGCCAACAAAGTCATTATTGCTGGGGTAGCACATTTTATTGTCATCAGATTCTGAATATCATACACACCTTACATTAGTTAAAGATGAACAATGTGAAGCTTGCGACTTTATAAAGCACTCCCAACCCCGAGAAGCCCTAGAATTCATTCCAGGGGTAATATAATAAGATAAAATAAACTCCTTATAAATGATCCTTATTAATAAACTTCTCCCCGACTTCCTTCTAGTCCTCTCCATCCAAAGGTTGCCTGGAAGAGATCGCTCTTAGCGATAAGGCCGCCCATTGATACACTAGTTTTTGGTTTTGTACTAAATGTAATGTTTTCTGTGGTGTACAATAAAGCGTTTTGTATTGTATTGTATTGTAAATAAAGTTCTGAGAACAGATAAACCCATACACACATAAAAAAAAGAAATGATTACAGGCGTGATGCTGGCATAATTGGAATGTTTTAATTGTAGTTTTAAATAGTTTTACGTTCAGTAGTCAAAACACTGACCCTTTTCATAATAACCCGTTTCAGTTATTCATGAGCGAATTCATGGAAACACAACAGATAACAATTGACTACCTATAATATTATGATCTTAAAAATATGGAGCGTGGAGATACAAAAAAATTATAAGAAATTCAGCCAAGTGCGAGTTGAATTCGCGATGAAAGGTTTCGAAAACTTTAAAAAAATGTTTCATGTGCTTATGGAGATCCTATATTTAACTCAAGTTTTTCTTAAATCTAAATGGGGTTGGTATCGACATTTTGATCCAAAATTCTTTAGATTTAAACATCTAGCAGTTAAATGCTTAAAATTCGAATGTTTAATACTTGTTAATAAAGTAGTATATTTTACTGCCCGCGTGTATAAAAAACACTAGTTTTTTTGTCATAACTTTCTGCCAAATTTTCTGAACCACGTTTATTTGATATTATTTTTAGTTTATTATAATAATATTATGATTATATAAATTAACTCAATAAATTGTGCAACTTATTGTACCTTGATAAACTCATCGTTAAAACAGCTGAATTAATGTTTATATAATATACAAATCGTAATTAATCAAAAAGATTTGCCATGCAGGTTTAAGTCGGCAAAACACTCTGTTATCAAAATATCAAATGAATTAAAAAATAATACAGTGCCTAAATCTTTAATAATTATTTTTTTCTATGTGTTGTTTTAAAAAAGGTAGTATAAAGTGGGTTCAAGGCAGAAATTCCTTCTCAACAAATTGTCGATCACCTATCCAAAACTAAGCATTTGAAGCTTTCCTACCTTGACAACCGCGTACGAGCTCCGCATAATATTAGCACAATCTATTTATTTTCTTCAAACACTTCGCTTTAAACCTTTCCAAGTATCTCTCACGGAAACATTCACGTGGGTATTTCACACGATTTTGGACGGTAAATACGAATGCATAAGCAACACATTCGTAACCA